CCGATGTCGAGCGGTTGAAGTTCCTTTGTCAGACAGCGTTTATTTGTTTCACCATGTTTTTCACATCGGCTGTGAGATGGGCACGCATGGAGTCACAGATTAACAGCGATGGTGATGCGTGGAAAAAAAAAACACCTGGTCTCCTTACATACGCCTCCCTCAGCCACTCTTTCATCATCTCTTCAATGAGTAGATGAGGAGTTCTGCATAAAGCACATACCTGTTCTTTTATACACAATCCACGCCCACACTTCCCCCTTTAACGTTCTCATGGTGGTCTCAACAACATCCGCAGTAACAACACACATAGGGCGCACCGCACTATAGGGCGCCGCACATTTTGAGGGAAAAAAAAAAAAAGACGTTTATATGCGCCTTATAGTCGTGAAAATACTGTATTTTCCCTCAAAGTGGATGTGTTTTACTTTGTAACCGCATCTCACTTCCTGTCAGACCCATGGAATTACAGCTGAATTGCTGTGTAATCCAACTAAAATAAACCTGGCGTCTATCTCAGTCGGATCTTCGCAGTCCTTTTGTGTAAAATAATGTCGGGTGTGATCGTCCCCATTGACTTTCAATGAGCGCTAAATGCTAAAACCTTGTCCAACATGGTTTTCTGTTCGGATTGGACGCAAAACCAGATTCAGTGTGTTCTGGCCTTAACTCAGGCTGCTGGACAAAACTGGTCTGCTACCAGAACAGGGTTTTTTTTTCGTTAGCTACACTGTAGTACTGGCTTTGGCCTTCCACTAGGGGCACTAAACCTTCCAGGTCTAGTGCCCCTAGTGGCTTAACATTACGCAGTGTTGCTTTATGTTAATAATTACACTTTAATATCATGTTTGTCTTGCTGCTCTCCACTTTAATCTGAAAGAGAAGATTAGGGTGATGGTAAGGAGACCTGATATTTTAAATAATTAAAATGAAAGATATATAGAGACACCCAGCAAATATAAGAAGCATTAATTGTTGTCATGTCATTAAAGTTGTAGGGAAGCGGCCGTTCCAAACGTTGCATTTCCAAATTCTCCTGATGGGTGAACGACTTTACACGAGTGCATAAAGTGAATGTGATTGGTCGTTTATCAAGGGGGCGGGATTGTTGTGGCGGAAGGTTAGCAAGCATGTTTGGTTGCGGCCGATTTGTCGAAAGCATCTTGCTAACCAGTTAGCAACTTAGTGCTAGTAGGGTCCCAATGGGAATGTGAATTGAGGAAAGGCCAACAATTCGCCCTCCCAACTATACACCTGTAACGGTCACCACTACTCTGCAAAGATTCTTATTTCAACCATCGCGTATATTAGCTGAAACATATGAATCAAGATGTTATGAACGAAAAAATTTGATTGACAGATGACGATGTATGTTGGGCTGAATTTAGGTGTTCAGGCTGACGTACAACTAACTGGCCTGCATAAGATAATGAAAAAACCCCACAGATTTTAATTTCTGTTTTTTAAAAACAGAAATTTTCAGAATTTTGGGACAATATCATCTGATAAAGAGTATATTTATATACATGTTTAAGCCAGAATGATTTGACATTTAAATAGGATTTCCTTACGACTTTTAAGAAGCTTCATCGATTATTGATTAGTGTAGACTTCATTTGAATAAATCTTATTCCCCAACTAAATTCTAGACTTAATGTATTCATTTTCTGATGTAAATCATTTTGGGTATAGCAGTAAAATAAATATACAGTCCCATTTCACACAGTTTTATCTGCCATGTAAGCCTGAAAGGGAGCAGAGCGAAGACGTACAGCGGCTGGACAGAGCAGTGCGCCCGTCAGTGGGAGGTGCAGCGTCCCTTTCATGTCAGGAGCTGAGGTGTAATCAGTAACCCTGTAGATATGTGATCCGGCTGAAGATCAGGGGTCCCTGAAAGGCCCCGTCTGAAACAGCGCTCAGCCCTTTGTTATCTCTGATATCAAAGATCAGGCGGCCGTGGAGGAATGCAGCCATTGTTACGTCTAACGCAGAAGCTGATATTGTCCTCTGATCCTGGGGATGGACTCTTCCCTGCACTTCATAGCGAGACCCCTTCTGTTTGGGTCTTTTTAATGATAAAAGGAGACCGGGTGGATTACTTTAGATGGGGCTGTTATCCGTCGACAGACATTATGACTGTCCTATTGACTGGAACTAATCGAACATGATTTATCTTCAATTCTTTTTAAATTATTTCCTTTTAACTGTTCTTGAAAAATTATAAAGATTGCTGATGGACAGCCCTGCAATAGACTGCCGACCTGTCCAGGGTGTACCCCACCTCTCCGGGAAAACTGAACCCGATCGCACTGTGTGCTGTGTGAACGTAGCCAGAGACATTTTGACAATGGAACAAGACAATTTAGTCTTACAAAACACAATTGCAATTTCTTATTTCAAGTGCATATTATCTAATTGTCTTGTTTTAAGAGTAAAAATACTCATTCCATTGGCAAACTCAAATTAAGGGTAAAAACACTTAAAGGGAAGCACAGTTTTTTTTACATTGGCCCCTTGATTTTACGTTATTACATGATGTTCTACTCACCCATATGAGTTTTGTGTCATTTGGAGCCGTTCTGAAGATATTCCGTTAGGTTATATCCAAGTAATGTCTTCCTTTGGGCAATGACTTGAAGGCACAAACTAAACTGTTCATAATTTATCATTTATGGTACGCCAGCATTCATAACATGTAGGCGTATCACTGTCCCCCAGACATCCGCAGTTATATTTTCTATATTTATATCTTTTAAAAACAAAGCGGCGCGTGTATGATGTAATCCGCGCGCCGGCTACCATTCATTCATCCTGTCCGCTGAACTGCTGCTAGTTTTACTCACATGCCTGGAAGATGTCTAGTGCTACTACCATAGATGATCTCGCTCTGGAGAATGAAATTGAAGGATTCAGATTAGCTCGGCGAATGAATAGAAGGGGTAGAGCGTAGCCGCCTGTGGCCCGGGCTGCCTGTCGCAACTTCAGTCCGGTGCAAGGATGACATCATACACAATCCGCTTTGTTTTTAAAAGATATAAATATAAAAAATATAACCACGGATAATCTGGGGGACAGTGATTCGCCTACATGTTATGAATGCTGGCGTACCATAAATGATAAATTATGAAGAGTTTAGTTTGTGCCTTCAACTCGTTGCCCATAGGAAGACATTACTTGGATATAACCTAATGGAATATCTTCAGAACAGCTCCAAATGACACAAAACTCATATGGGTGAGTAGAACATGATGAAATAACGTAAAATCAAGGGCCCAATGTAAAAAACAAACAAAAAAAAAAAAACGGCATTTCCCTTTAATTTAAGAAATTTTTAATTATTTCTAGATTTTTTTTCCCAGCGTTGCTAATAATAAACTTTAAAACTAGGTCATGGAGTAATCAATACAAATAAACTATGACATGTCAAACTGATGCCGGAATACTTAAACACAGTAACACCTGTCAGTAAATGCTTAAAAAGCCAATTTATTTCTATTTCATTTGACTACTTTAAACATGTTTAACAATCTAGTCTTCTGCTGTCTTGGCCAGGACTCTAATTAAAAAAGATCTTAATCTCCATGAGGCTTGTTTAGTTAAATAAAAAAAAAACAACTTACTTATCTGTTTCCTAAAACTTTCCTTCTAAATCCAGTAAAACCTGTTAAGAATAATGTAAATTGGCAGCCAATAAAAAAAAAAGTTTTTTTTCCATCCTTCTCAACAATGAACAGAATCCTGAAGTGATAAAACCTTTGTTTTAATTTCTGACCAGCCTGTTTCTTGTTTCTTCTGATGTTTTGATAATTCAGCTCAATGTCTCTGTGGTTTAAGAACCTCCCTTCCATCATCCTAATCTCTTGCTCCTTCTGCAGATTATCTGTTAGACTCCAAAATCTGATCATTTTCAGCCAGAAGGAACATCTAGATGAAATTTAAAGCAGACTTACTGGTGACTTCCTGCAGGAAGTCCAGACAGGGCCGGCTTATTCCAGACATACTAACAGACACAGCTACCGGGGTCTGGCCTTCGTAGTTCCTGGTGTTGGTGTTGGCGCCGTACGTGTAGAGCATCTGAGCACACAGCACATCATCCCTGAGGGCTGACAGGTGCAGCGGAGTCTGTCCATCTTCTAGACGGCCGAGGTTTGTGTCCGCTCCCCTCTGCAGGAACATGCGGCAGTAGGAATGGTTTCCTTTGATGACGGCGTAGCGCAGCAGGAAGCCGTTCTGAATGTCAATGTTGGCGCTGTGGTCCAGCAGGATCCGCACGCAGCTGGAGCGCTCGCGGATGATGGCCAGCTGCAGCGGCGTGGTGCCTTTGTCGCTGAGCGGGTCCACCTCAGCCCTGAACTCCAGGAGGAGGCGTACAAAGGAGTCGCGGCCGTAGTGGGCCGCCACGTGTAGCGGCGTCCAGCCGTCGTTGCTTTTAGCGTTTATGATGTCGCCCCGGTACTCGGACTCTAGCATCAGTCGGGCGATGCGGGCCCTGCCGTGCATGGCTGCATAGTGAAGAGCAGTGAAGCCGCCGATGAAGTCCTTCACCGTGGGGTCGGCTGTACGGAGAGGAAGGAGAGAACAAATGAGTTACAGTCTGATCTGAGGACGCCGCCCCTTTAAAAGCATCAGCTGCAACCTGTTCAGATCTGCAGCTGTGCTGCTTTCTGTTCAACCAGTAAAACCAGAAGCCTTAGCTGGCAGCTGACCCTCAAGACCAAAACACCTCATCAACATTTCTTTGTTCAAAGGTGACGACCCACAGCGCTTGAGCTAGTTGGTCTCCCTCTGGGAGCATTCTCATCGCCACACCTGATCTTCCTCTGATTCATCCTGACCTGAGAGACAGTATTGATTGATTGCTATTATTTGTTTCCTTTCCTCCCTCCCTGCGTTTCTTTCTCTCTCTTTTCCTTCGTTCCACAAATGGAGAATTTTACACGGCGCCATCGCCACAAACTCGTTTTTATCTGTTATTAATCTGGGTGTTTTAAACATTCGTTTAAAACACCCAGATTAAATGCGGTCCGTCTGAAAACACGTTCCATGTTTTTATGGAATGAACAAGACCAAAGGCAATGTTTAGCCTAGGGCTGGACGATATAGAAAAAAAAGCTTATTGATCAATATGCATTTTTTTCTTATCGATATCGATAATTATTGAAAAGATTTGAAACCATATTTTATGTGCAGCTCTGCCTGGACATTTTATGATATTGCTAAATGATTTAATTTTAATAAAGAACAAAAACACAGACTTCCAATTAAATCTTAATTTAACCAAATTTTTTTAACCATAAAAGAATTTTTTTAAAGAAAAATAACTTAAGAGACCTGAGTTATGTTATTAAAATTCCCGAAGATTCTTCAGAGGACGATGCAGAGCCGCGCCGGGGCCTACACAGCTCGTACTCCTGATGATAAAACAAGTTGGTTGTGTTATCAGACTTCGTTTTCACTGGTTCCCGACACATTTTACAGATGACTGTGGTTTGTTTTTTGTCCGACTTGCCATGACCTAAATACTGCCAGACTGCCGAACTACAAAAACCCTTCTTTGGAACAATTTCCTCCGCCGCTCCTTGCTGCGACATCTTTATGTGCTCTGTGTTGTGGTTTGAGAGGGCGGCGCTT